ATCGATCCAAATTACGAATAACGAATATCGAACAGATCTGAATTTTAGAAAATTAAAAAATAAATAAATCCGAAACAAAGACGAAACTAAATCTTCGGCCATGCACATGTCTAATGGACATAATCAATTATATCAGTACAATTAAACAGATGTAATGCGCTACAGCAGTATGATTACAGAGACAATCTAGTACACAAATATGAATACATTGAAGCAGACCAGTACACCAGTATGATTATACAGACAGCCCAGTACACTACTGTGACTACACTGAGACAATGCAATACAGCAGTGTGTCTACAGAGAGTCCACCAGAGCAGTGCAATAACACAGGCAGAGTCTAATGCAGCCCTATGATTATACTGGCACACACCAATAGGACAAACTTTGCGAATCGAGTGCTTTTTTTACACTTCTTTTATATACTTTCTGGGTTACTAACCCTCAAGAAGTATGTGGATCAGGAATTTTGACTTACTGCTGTTGGGTATGTATTTGTGCAATACCCCACCTTCAAAAAACATTAACAACTAACTATGTAGTACACAAACCTAAATCCAGACCCATAAAAATATTTTCATAAACAGAAAGAAAAAAAAATGGGGTCTTTGGAGAACGCTGTGTGAAAAAGTATAACACACATAACAATAGTCTTTATTAAATACATAATATCTTAAAAAAGCAAAAGCTCTCACATAATTAGTATTAGTTGTCTTATGTGAAATTTGAACCCTATAAACAGGAACTTTATTTCTCAGATATACTGCCAGCACTCGTACTGTCAGGAAATCTCTACTGGTGTAAGGGCTTGTTCACACCTTGTCCGGACCAGATCTGCAAACACGGTGCGTTTCTGATGCCTTTCCGGTTTGTTTCAGTGCATTTGTTTTGCTTAAACGGGTTTTTATGTGCAATCCAGTTCAATTGCACGCATTTAAAAAAAATGTGAACAGAGCCCAGAAATAACATAGGAATACATTGGGATGCATTTCAGGTGTGGACAAAAAAATTTCTGGTCTGGATATGGTGTGAACAAGCCTTAAAGGCCGGTTCACACCACAAAGAATGCGTTCCAAAGCATTCTGCCTCTGGAATGCACTGGAACGCAAACCGGCACCCAATGCGCCAAACGCATGGCGCATTAGTGCCTGCATTCCGGTCCAGTGCAATCTGCAAAAATAGTGCATGCAGCATTTGTGCCATGCGTTCAGGTGCCGGCGGTTGCACTGTGGGCGGGGAGCGTGGCTGCGGTGCCATTGACTTCAATGCACAGCCACGCCCCCTCCCGTCCCTGAACGCAGGGAACCGGCCGGTTTGCGTTCCAGAAGCCGAGTATTAAAGTGGATCTAAACTCAACATCTAGAACAGCTTTAAAAAACTAAAGCGGCATTAGGCAGTGTAGGTGGGTGTATTAGAATGATCTTGTGATGCTCCAAATCCAGGTTATATGACAGAAGCTGCAGTTTTGTAGTAGGGCTCTGATGTTAGCTTTTCTTCTATCAACATGCATAAAAATTCTGATGTAGGCACCCACAATGCAAAGCCGCTATAAACTTTCTGATCGAAACTGGGTTTAGGTCACATGGCCACAGTAGTGACCACACTAGTACCAGAGCACCACAGGATGTTATTGTTGGTAAATACTTTTCTAATAGTTTGAAGCAAAACTTGAATTATGTCAACTTTAAAGCCCAAGAAAGTAATGTTATTTTTGACTGTTCAGGTTCTTCCTAAAAAAATAATAATATATATATATATATATATTGCAAATGAAGACATGTTATGGGCAGTAGCTTTTTCTGTGTTACCTGCGTGTCACCATCACACCCATGCACTTTTCCACTGGTCGCCACTACATCCACGCACTTGCCTGCAGACTTCACGAACCATCTTTGCACTTTTCCAATGACCTTCAATTTAGCATTGCACTTCTCCACTGACTTCTACAAATGCACCAGAGGCACACTACATACCACATACTACATTATGTACATTTCCCAGTCTGCTAAATTGTAAACTGTGTAGATTAATACCACCAGAATTTTTTTTTAAACAGATTCAATGTTTTATCCTGTTTCAGTAACAGGCACACTTTTTCTAGTTCTAATATAAATATATAAAAGGAAAAGCAATGATGAAAAAAGGCATCAGTGGGTTCAGCGGAACATTTTTATGATCTGCATGACTTGGGGTTAGGGATGTGACCTTTATCGAATATTTTCTGTTAAAAAAGGCTCCCCTCGTTTTTATCTCAAAATGTTGAGGTATATTCTACCATTTTAAATCAGATACATGAAACTGATCTATTTAATACAGCCTGCACCTCTTAATCTAAAAATCTAGATGACCTTTTACTTTTATAAGCAGTTGTAACCAATTGATTGTCATTGTACACGCAGATTATATTTAATTACTTCACAATTGACAACCATGCCTTGGTACAAAACTAAGAAAAGTAAGCTTTGTAATGTGTATGCCACTCAATAGTCAATAAGAACATTATTAATAGAATCATACTTAGTCATACTGAGCAGGTTCTGACTCTTGAAGACACTTTCTCATATCCCTTCGAGCAGGTAAGGTGAAGCTTGAGCAGACTAAATTCCTGGCACTGTGCTAAGTGATACTGCCCCCTCCAAATGTAGCAGGCCAGTAAAAGTATCCCAGTCCCGCTGTGCAACTCCCACAGGGCTCCAAAGTGATCTGTCTCACTTTCTTGCTGTGTTACGGGAAGTCTCCCTGGAGAAAAGGTTTTTTTTTTCCTGTTGTAATCGCAGACAGTCTCTGTGCTCATCCACATTTATTGCCATTAATGGCTTCAGTCTTCTCGCTGTATTTGAGCTCATCTCCAAGACGACAGGAGGGCTCAAAAGGTCTCGAGCACAGAAAGAAGGTCAGCTCTGATAGATTAATATACTGAGATAGGAATCCATCTTGCATTTGGTCTTTGTGTAATGCATGCAATCACATTGGAAAAGGAGTTGATTAGAATCACATCACACAATGGCTTTTTATGACAATATATATTACAGAAAACAGTGACAATGGCATGACAGTTATCCCAGTACCAGGTCTCACGAAGAGCCTTAACAAGTGAAACATCTCTTTATAGAGATGATGTTACAGCCTAAGCTGAACTGGTCAGCTAGATCAGGGAACAGTGCTTTCTCCTAGAAAATCAAATTGTATCAAGGACCCAGCTACCAGACAAATACCCTCATCGATCTACTCTTTGGCTAATGTCTTATTTCTCACACAATCTTAATATCCTCATCCTCTAATATGGGCACACATCTCTAAATCATGGTTTCCTTCACAAAAAATGAAATGTGACATTTAAACCTTGTTTTCTGTCTGTCATTACCACACTAACTGTTTCTGCCTCTTCTCATTATGTCATTTCTGTCCTTACAAACTAAGAAACCTAAAACAGCCCTAAGCTACAGCCACAGCTGGCAATACAATTGCTAGAGGGCCCAGTAACACAGAGGGGTCATACATATATCGTTCAGGGACCTCTGTCAGAGCAGTAGGAATTACAATGCGGTTTTGGGCTTGATTTACCTTTTAAGAATGAGCATTTATTAATTGTTTATGGATAAAAAGTACTATGTGACCAAAATAATTTGGACCTTACCATATGTAGAAATATGAGGTCCAACATTTTCTGCTCTTGTGGTTTTTTTTCCCACATCCCACAAGAGATTCCTAGAACTATTATGTCAAATTGTGCATTCAGGATTTGCAATTTTGGCAGGGACACATAGGGCAGCAGGCATATGTAAGTGCAAAGCTCTACTACAGCTTTAACTTGTTACCACAGGCTTCTTAGGTAAGACCACAGCCTAGCCAGGCTGGAGGTATCAGATGTAATGTAAAATTAGTATAATGTAAGACCATGTGCACACCAGATGCAGCAACTGTGATTGCCTCTTCACCAAAACCCAGCCACAGACTGCCTGCTCACCAATATCCAATCACAGACTAGCTGGAGGTCAACACTGACACTTATTGTGCCAGTTTCTTTCTGTATATCAGTAGAGTTGCATTTGCTGAGCACATTCAATTAATGCATGCAGAGTGTGAGATGCGTTCAGCAAACACAATTCTGTCAATCAGTTATGACAGCTGTGATCACAGTGGACATCAACAATGACTGCTCCTGACACAAAGTCACCCTGCAGGCAAGATGAGGTGAGCACAGCCCACGCTTAATGGACTGAGGCATACACCCCTGCTGTATCAAGTGTGCACATGAGCTTTGCAATCACATTCCTGGTTGGAGGAGTCCGGCAATAGCTGATCAGCCTCCATAGAAGCAGTTTATGATTTTTACAGTGAAAGTAAAAGATTCACAAAAGCTAAACATCTTGAGATAGTGGAAATATGGCTATTTCTGCTGGTAAAGCATTTCTTTCCCCCTTTCTGTGAACCTCCTGCCTCCTTCTGTACAATGTTGGCTCTGGAAATCAGTGCAGGAAGCACCAACCAGCAGTGGCCAAAGGACCAGCAGTGCAGAAACAAGAAGCCTGCGGCACAGCTGCACACGGACTCTGAACAGTGACAAAGTGGACGGCGCTTGAGAAAAATCTCGCAGGAGCTGGGTTTTAATGTAGCAATTTGATTCAATTTTCCACTCTATAAAATTACCCATCACCGCTCCTTGCTGTCTAACAGACACCTTCACTCTTAATTTAACAATCTGATCCAATTCTGCCAGGGAAATTGGAAAAATTTATCACCTGTGAAATTTTATTTTTCCTCGGTTGTATCTGTTTTTGTAAAACTTCATTAACGACGATGACTTGCTGAGGAAATAATGTTTTCTTTCTTTTTTTTTCTGATCTGCTTGGGACATAAGAAATAGCCCCAGCAGAGACTGTATGTTCATTAACATAATAAAACAAAGATAAGCTTACAATGAGCAAAGAAAGGGAGCCTCTGGCAGGAAGGATGTGTAGTAGCAATGATGTACTTTTGTAGTATAGATAACCTCCTACCTGGAACCACCTCATAGATATCATCATCCTCTATTGGGCTATTTGCTCTGTCCAGACTTGGGCGCTGTCCCATTGAAGAACTATTCAGGCTGTCCACATCATCATAGGACTCCTCATCATCTTCACATGGTATAGATGTTGACTGGATGTCTGAGCAAATATAAAAAAATCTTACTAAGGTGTGTTAAAGAGATAGTTGTGAAGGATCTATAAATAATGTTTTAGCACTTGCTGGAACAGTTTGCATTAGCAGATTTTATATTTAGGGGTATCAAACAAGTTTTGCCTCCCTTTTACTTTCTACACATTTCAGGACAGCCTAAGACTGTAGAGCAAATGTTATCAACACACACACACCATGGCACGCCTATGCTGTATATGCATAATTTTACCCATGTTTAGATATTTAGATATTTAGATATATTTCATTTTTTTTTTTTGAAAATTCAGTTTCACTCACCAGCATACATGCTTCAATCTTGTGAAATTCATAACCCTTCCATATCACCTAAATGCTTTCAAAATTGCATTTGCTTATTTAACAGTTTTTATAGCAAAATAGCACAGTGAACATAAGTTTCTCTACAATAGTAACTGTGCTAACAATTAGGCTTGAAAACAAATGTGCACAAAAGCACTCACATTCTTCACCTATATACTCTTGTGAAGCCATTTGCCCAGTATCTTTGGCAAAAGAGAAATAATGAAGTTGAACTCACCTTTCACCAAGAACTGTATTTGGTCAACCCAGTCTCTGGCCTCTGCTGGGCTGGCAGCTGTGAACTGCGAATTGAAATACGATAAAAAGTGTTAGCTAGGCAGGTTTTTCTCTGTTATTGTTTAAAATTACAAGTACTGGATATTACCTGATAGCTGCGACTACCCGGAGATACAAGCTCAAAGCAGGAATCTCTACGCGAGTCTTTGCGGATGTTCGGAACCAGTTTAGAACTGCAATTTTTTATCAAGAAGCCCCCTTTAGGAACCTTTCCTATAATCAAATCAGTTTTATGTTAAATTGAATCAGCCTAAAGCATTTGCATGTCTAAGTTTTAATATATGAATTTGGTTTGCAAGCTAGGTTGAGCACTACTTCTGATGAGTTGTGTCTTCTCCGCCCCATTCCTTGTATCTAGTGTAGGACCAACCTCTGTACCCTATTCTGTTGCTCCAATTTTCACTGTTCTTTTAGCTCCCTTTTATCAGGGATAGCCTAAAGATCATGACTTGAACATTTACTACAGATAGAAGGGAAACCAAACCAAAATGCAGACTTTAGAGTAGAGGAAAACAACATGAACCTCCTCATGTATCACTTGTCCCTCCCTTTTTAGACTGTAAGACCTCATGAGCAGGCCATCCTTACCATCTTGTCTTGAATTGTATTGTGACTGCAATGTCTTCCTTCTATTGTAAAGTGCTGTGCAAACTGCTGGCGCTATAAAAATACTGTATAATAATAATAATGAACATACTGTAAGTTATCACACAAGACTGTCTTTAACCCTCATCTCAAAACCATTATGTAGACTTCCTATTTTGTTTATCTCTGAGAAATTCATAAAGTCAACTGATCAATTACCCTTCTCACTGGAATAGTAACAAAAGCTCATGTTGGTGAGGACACACCACTTCTTCCGCCATTCTGACCCAAATAAACCATGGTCTGGAACAAAGAGTACATACATTATTAGAACAAATCTAGCGTGCACCTCTCTTGAATACATTAGACTCTTTTATTATTTATTCAAGTATATAAATTAGAATCTTAAAACTGGTACAGCTTTGTTGTGTTGTGAAGATAGGATTACATTACAGAAAAACTATTTATTGTCCTAATTAAACAAATATGAAAAGTAAAAAAGGTTTTCAGTTGAAATTATATTTCAGAAAAGAAATGTACAATACTCCAAGCCACTGAAGCCGTGCTATGCTTAGAAGTGCTCCTTCAGCACAGCTTGGTGTAGGAAAGCTGTTAAAATAGTATTTTTAAAAATAGGGAAACATTACTAGTGTGTTTGCATACAGTTGTCATTGGTGTTCAAACAAATAAAGACCAACTACAGTTCATAATATTAAGGACACCATGCTCTTCTGTTGCTTTACTGCACTAGTGTTATTGTACAATAGACATTCGTCAATTTATTTTAGTTCTGAATGGATAATCGCAAAAAAATGAATTGAATTCGGACATTCAGATGCATCCGAAATTGAACGCGTCCGAGTGCAAACAAATTTACGAGTTTCATTCAAAAAGAAACTAAACCGGACCTGTGACTGTTCTCTGCCCAATCAGATTTTTTTGGGGGGTTGGGGGTTGCATTACAGGCATGGTTATGTGACTTCCTGTTGTGGATCATTCAGAAGCAAAAATTCAGACAGATACAAAATCCAAATAACAAACCGAATTGAATTTCGGATTCAAAACATAAAAATTCAAGAAATAAAAATCCAAATCGATCTGAAATTAAACTAATTTTTTGTGTGGTTACATGTCTAATGTACAGTATTTTGTGCGTTATCATGCACTGTGTTGAGGTAGCCCAATAGTTTAGAAAGGACTGCCCATGCACAGCAACCAAAGAAAAAAGTTTTTCAATTACTGAAAAATCTGTTTTTTAAAGTCCAAAGAAAAACACAGAAATGTAGTAATTCTTAAACATTTTGGGCTATACTGCCAGGAGGTTTGGCCACTGGCAAAGCTAATAAAAAAAATTAACCCCATGCTTGTATTTTCCAACCTCCAACAGTCATGGCTTAGTTTTGTGTGCAAGCAGTACATAAGGCCAATAACTCAGTAGACTTCAAGAAGATTTTACTGTAATAACAAAAATCGTATCATTGAGGGGTAAAGGAATGTAGTAATTCTTAGAAATTTGGGACATCGAAAAGAAGTTCAACAGAGAAGTAATTAAGCCACTGATCCAAGGAATGTGGAAATCATAGTACAAGGAATATCTGAAGGGGGCAAAAGCTGAACAAAGGCTAGATAAAGAAAAAAAAGGTTTAAAAAGCATGGTGACATGGTGACTTTCTAGCATCCTTACCGATTCTTATGCTACATTTAAAAAGATCTGGATGCCTTGGTTCCCTATCACTCTCTGTGAGTTTGACCACACCATACTCTCCCTTTTATGATGCCTCTTTTTTTTTTATTTGCTGTTATTGTTCATTGCAATGCATTGGTATTGCTTTTGCTCTGTATCCTGTACTTTGCTTTGGAAAAAAAATTATGACGTATTAGCTCTAACTAACACAGTACACTGAGTCCTGCAAAAGAGCCACAATGGAGAGCCCAGTGCCAAAAGATCATATTTTAGGAAAGCCCTGAATCTTTTTGTCCTCAGGCGTCTTCCAAAGGCCGATCTTCAGGCCAGATGGCCTTACTCACAAAGTGAATCTATGGAGCCCGGGTCACATCAGAGGGTGAGCCACGGAGCACTCCGTTGCTAACCAAAACAGTACACTGAAATCTGAAGAGCACCGCAGTGCCCAAAAGTCACATTTCAGAATAACCCTGTAATTGTCGGGTCAGCAGGGACTGAGTATGGGCTCCAAAGCTGTGGATGATGACACACCGATTTCGAAAACTGCTAGGTAGAGAGGCGCTCAAGCAGCAATTTTCAAAATCTTGATTGCAGACACCAAAGAAAAAAATCTATGGAGAATCTTACATGAAGAAAAAATGAATAGGCAAAAGGGAGTTTTTTTCAGCATAGCTGAGGAGAAGGTATGTAACCTCCTAGGGTACAACACAAAACTTAACATGAGAGTTGTAGACAGGGTAATAAGGGGGCTGGCTTAACGTTTTTTTGTTTGGCAATGTCCAAACCTTCTGAAGGCGGCAGTATAACCCAAATGTATAAGAATTACTGTATCCCTGTGTCCAGGGCCAGATTTACTCTCTCTGCTGACAAAGACTAGAGGACACCACCTAAAACTGGTAGAAAAAAAAATTTGAACACAAGGGGCGAAGGGGGTTCTTCTCAGTTCGCGCGGTTAGGGTCTGGAACTCACTGCCTCAATCGGTAATTTCCGCAATTAATCTGGAATCATTCAAGAGGCTTTTGGACGACTTCCTGAGAGACCGAAATGTACAAGGGTACAGGTACTCTTAAGAATGAGAACACTCATGGACCTATACACACACAACAGATTGGACTTGATGGACTTATGTCTTTATTCAACCTCAAATACTATGTTACTATGCTGCCCCAAAGCCAGGTTCCTCAATGTGCCCCCCTCCCCACCAATCATGCGGTGGTTGGGGATCTTGGCGCCATGGGAGTGGTGCTGTCAGGGGGGTAGGCCCTCTGCTCCTTGCTTTGGCGCTGCATGGAGGCATTGGCATCTTTTGTATGCAGCTTTGAGGCCTTTATTTGTTGCGGAGCTGCAGGTTATACACAAGGATTTATTTGATGGGCAGCCACTTGCTTTCTGATAGCTTGTCGGTCTGTTGGGCGGATCCCAATAAATCTATATCACCTTCATGGTGATTGCGGCTTTGACGCTGCATGTGGGGGATGCTGATGTTTCTGTGCAGCGTTGGAGCGAGGAGTGGAGGGGCGGCACTGTCGACTGATGTTTCTGTGCACTGTCAATGGGAGCCCCTCTCGCTGATAGTGCTGTACCTGTGGCATTGAGATCTGTGCCACAGCTTCACTCCCTGCCACCGAGGCCATGGCCTCGGTGGCCTTGTGGGGAATCTGGCCCTGCCTGTGTCCCTTGACGGGCAATATAGGAAAAAAGTTTTTTTCTATTCAACGCACGCTACATGCATTATGATACACCATACAGTGGGTGTGTTGCCACGTACTCTAGCTGTTTATTGGGGTGGGATTATACATGCATATGCATTAGCACAATGCAATAGTGTGCAGCTAGTTTAACAGGGTTATTCACAAAAGGGTAGAGAGTTTGGAGAAGGCAGGAGAAGTGAACAATCTAGGACAACATAGCAGAACCGGGAAGGGAGCTGAATTGGAGAAGTTTTCCAGATCAGCTATGTTGTCCTAGATTGTTCTCTTCTCCTGCCTTCTCCAAACTCTTCACCCTTTTGTGAATAACCCTGTAAATGTTATAAGCATTATTGAAGTTTCCCAATATAATTAACTTTTTAAAGAGAGACCTAGTTTTTAAAATGTTGATGTCCTCAAATATTAAATTGACCCTTCATATTGATCTTCCAATTTGGAAGGCTGCATATGCTTACCACATTATGCAGTGGCCTAAAGGTTAATTTCATACCATGTTTTATGTTACACCCATACATATGGTGTAACATGAAGCCATTCCACAGCCTCCCACCCGCAAACTTTCCCCTACTGCAGCAGAGGGACTTTTCAACAGAACAGAAGTGCGATGACATCCCTGCACTTGTAGTCCATTGATTACTTCCTTTAGCTCATTAACCGAAGGTCCATACAGAGGTACAGACCTGGGCCGGGGAGAATAGTCTGCAGGAGCCTGTGCATTGCATCCACGTTTCACTGATCGTGGTTGCAAAGCTTTGCAGCTCCAGTTCAAAAAAAAATATATATTTTTTGCAACATGGGTGCAATTACTAATTTGTTTAGAAAAAGTGGACTCTGTCTTTAATCATCAAATTGTTTTAGAGAAGTTGTTTACTGTAAAATTGGAAAGGAGAGTGGAAAAGCCTATCCAGAATTGACAAGCCCCAACGAAAACATAGTTGGTCTTTATGGAAATTCAGTTTCAGCGCTCCATGGAGATGCGCTCTAAATACCCGTTGGATAAAGCACTGACTCAGAGAACAACCATGTAAATGACATCTTCTAAAGGTCCCCAGAGATTCGATTTATAAATCCCCCTCTTCTCTCTGTTTCAATGAACATGTCACAGACAAGCACAAAACATAATCCAGCTGGCCCATGAGACAGACATTCTTTTCCAGCACAGGGTACGCTGCATGATATCTCCTGAGCAAGATTCCTTTACACTGTAGCAGAGGGGAAGCTGCCCCATAAGCAAGCATGCAGAGTATGACAACCGGCCTGGGCTGTAATAAGGGCTTAAAGTGTATGTAAGCCCTAACAATGAACTTCTCTTATTTGCTCTTTTTTGGTCTGTTAAATCTGCCATTGAAAGCCTGTTGTTATATCTGTTTAATAAGTGCAAAAAATACCAATGATTGCCTATGGGCATGGTTCCCACCTGGGCGTTTTGCAGCGTGTTCCTACGCCTAAAGTACAGGAGCTTCTTTGGGGCGTATTTGCCGCGCGTATCCATTGGGATACAGCCAGGTAGTCCTCGGAAACACACGTTTGTCGCGCTGTTTTTTTACCGCGAATCGCGGTAAAAACGCGCAGCACGAATTGCGCGACAAATGCACATATTCGATACGCCTAGGTGTGAACTCAGCCTAACTCTCACAGTAAACAATCACTGGTGTATGAATATAAGCCCTCTTAAAGGAGAACTATGGGGTTAAGGCATAAGGCTAACCCCATAGTTCTCCTTAGGGTAACGGGAGGACACAAACTAGCGTCCTCCCGTCACCCTAGGCTCAGTATACCACGAGCTGTAGCTCGCGGTATACTGAGACGCCGCAGCTGAAGTGGATCCCGGCAATTATGCCGGGATCCGCCCAGCTGCGTGACTGACAGCTGGCTTTGCCTATCTAGAGGCAGAGCCAGCTGTACCCGCCCCCTCCCCCGTCCGTTCCGCCAGTCAGCTCTGGCGGATCGGAGCGGGGAGGGGGGAATCCAGCCCCTCCCCTGTCACGGCAGAGAGCCATGACAGGATCGAGAGGTGAGCGAACGCCGGTATGCGTTCGCTCACCTCCCGATCTACTGAGCCGACCTGTGACAGTCTCATTGTCACAGGTCGTCTAGAACTATGAGGTGAGTGAAAAGCACTCACCTCATAGTTCTCCTTTAATGAACAGCCTCCTATGTGTTTGCATTAACCCCTCAGTGACCACTCCCTCAGAGACCAGTCTCCAAAGGATTTTTATCAACCCCCAGTGACCAGTTCCCCAAACCTTACATTAACCCTTCATTCACCAATCTCCAGAGTATGTGCTCTAGACCGCTCTCCCCTGAGTATGTGCATTAACCCCCTATAGTAAGATAACTTCTTGAAACAGCAACTCTAGGTCACAAGCATTAGAAGTTCACTTGTTGACATCTGAGAAATAATAATAAACAATGCAACTCTGTTTGAGAGCTCATTCACAGTTTAGCGTGTAAACTTTCAGACTTGTGTTTCTCCTTTGTGCAAAAGGTATGTGCAAAAAAGCATTAGATGTTACTCTATGCACATACAGGAGGTGTGAAGGAGTGCCGAATCAGACAGTTAACAACAGTTTTTAGGGTGAGGTTGCAGTTTCTTGTTGCATGACTCTAGGCAACTTCCCTTTCATGTTCCAACATGTGTGGGATGAGCTGCAGTCATTTTGGAGTAACAGCACCCCCTGTGTGTCCTTGCGTGTCACTAATCTACTAACTGACATATCGTACTGGATGTTGCAACACTTCTTAAAACTCAACTTTAAAAAACTGAGCTCTTGATATTTCCTCCCGCCCGTGCACCTTCCCCCAACTTTTCCCTTGAGATTGTTAACACTACTTTCCAGCCCTCCTCCCATGCCAAGGTCCTAGGTGTCATCCTTGACTCGGACCTCACCTTTCTTCCCCACATCCAATCACTATCGAAATCCTGCTGCCTTCACCTTCGTAACATCTCCAAAATACGCCCCTTCCTCACCAAGGAAACCGCAAAATTACCCATCCACTCCCTTGTTATCTGTCGTCTTGACTACTGCAACTTCCTCCTCATTGGCCTTCCACTACACAGGCTATCCCGCTTCAGTCTATCATGAATGCAGCTGCTAGACTCATTCACCTAACCAACCGTTCAGTGTCTGCAAACCCCCTCTGCCAATCCCTACACTGGCTTCCACTCGCCCAAAGGATAACATTCAAAATATTAACAATCACTTACAAAGCCATCCACAACTCTGCCCCCCGGCTATATCTCAAACCTTGTCTCAAAGTATCACCCTATCCGTCCACTCCGCTCATCCCAAGACCTCCTGTTTTCCAGCTCCCTCGTCAACTCCTCCCATGCTCTCCTCCAGGACTTCTGTAGAGTCTCCCCCATCCTCTGGAACTCTTTACTCCAAACTGTCCGTCTGTCTCCCACCTTGACTGCCTTTAGGCATTCCCTAAAGACTCATCTCTTCAGGGAAGCCTATCCCACCTAAACCTAACCGCTCAACCTTCACGTTCTCAAACAATTCATCCCCACACAGCTACCTCCTCATGTATCACTTCTCCCTCCCTTTTAGATTACAAGCCCTCACGGGCAGAGCCCTCCTTACCATCTTGTCTTGAATTGTATTGTAATGTCTTCCTTGTATTATAAATCGCTGCACAATCTGTTGGCACTATATAAATCCTGTATAATAATAATAATAATAATAACAACAGCAGTGCTTAATACTGTGCACACTGTTTTTGGAAACTAAGATTTAGAACTGTGAAGATGGAATTACCATAAACCATAGTTTTCCAACTAATGGGTCATCCAAGAATGCAAGACAAATGGCAGACTTAATCAACAGGTAACTCGTGTCCACTGCATCAGTTTGAAAAAAGTGTCATGTTTGAGTTTAAAAAAAAGCCTTTAAAGCTGAATTTCCCAATATAAAAATAAATTCAATTAAGTGTTTATACAAAAAAAAAATGTTTTTATCCTAATATCAACCTTTTGTACTTCTATGCACATCAACCCTCAGACTGGAGAGGAGTCAAAAATATGAGCCAGTCATTGATCTTGCATAGTGGATATGTGAGCATGCTTACAGAATGGGGAATTAGGGAAGCAGAGGAATAATTTCAGCAATGTGCTGCTGTTCCATCACTACCCAATAACAGGCTTATGAGTATCATAGGCTAGGATGTATTGCTTAGCTGTAGTGCAGTCTGCAAAAAAATAAGGCACCTGGTTGTGCACTCTGGAAGTCCTGTCTGCATTACAACACTGGCTGTAGAATAAAGTGTTCCTAAACTTCACATTCTGAAGTAAAATACTTGTGAAAAGTTGCTTGCATATGAGAATTATTTGCACTTAAATTTTGGTGACTTGTATGGAGGAACATAAGCAGTGCCTGGGAAAGGCAACAATGGACTGCTCCACCATATCTAAATCAAAATGTACTGCATAAAAATGTATCAAAAATTAACTGAAAAACGAATGTAGGGAGCAAAATACAAAAGAACATGTACACTACCGCTAACAAATCCATTGTCAGAAAATCACATAAAATAGCCCATAGGGTAGCCACCAGACTCGGTTTCTAAGGTAAATGCCCAGGTGCTCATTCACAAAAATAGCCATGCAAACCCAAAGTAGGTATAGAGACACATTAAGACGGACTGAGGTCCGTCAAAAAATTGACACTGAAACCTACTAAAGTACCTACTTCTGATATATCAGGTATGCCCAGATACCGGTTTTTATATATCAAATACAAGTATCAATATTTTTTTATCAGTACTTGCCGATATTGGCATCCCAAGATAGCGTGATTGCATGGAAACCCAACTTCCCATTTCCTCGCAACACAGAGAGGCAGCCTGGCTTCCTAATTGGTCAGGAAGCCAGGCTGCCTTGCATTGTCACTAGGCAGCGTGAAGCCGGCTTGCTAGCTTTCTGATTGGCCGGGAAGCGGGCTCCATGCTTCAGGTATCAGATCCCATTCATACTGAGCTACAACAAAATAAGCGTTTTTTCATCGCTGATTTGAGCAGAACGACTTTGAGCGAAATTGGGCTACATTGAGCTTCTTTGAGCTACAGTGCACATTGTGTTGCGCTATGTAGCACTTCTTTTGACATTTTAATACAGGGACTTCGTAGCTGCTACATTGGGCTGTGTCCAATCAAAAGTGTCTTTGATGTGACATAATTCCTCTTCTTGTTTCCTGCTTCTGTGGAGAGTGTAATTTTGTAGCACAAGTGTGAACATCTCCATTGAAATGCATTGGGAGAGTTACATTGAGCTTCATATTTGAGCGAGGAAAACATGCTACAAATCACTCATATGCTTCATCTACAGCTCTTCCAGTAAACAAGGTACAACGCTGTAGTTTGAATTTCTAACACCACAATGTACAGCTGTGGTAATGGCGGTCATTTCTGGCTTCTAGTATAATGAAAGGAAATTGTGGTATAAAAACTAAAATTTCTGGAAATCTCCATACTTGTGCATTGTACTTCAGGGAAGTCACTTCACATGCTAATCACAACTGTGCTGGTGAACCTCAGTAGGCCAAACCAGTTAGGTTTTCAAGTCAAAATTCCTACTCTGCAAAGCCAGTGTCATGCAATTAAGTGACCACAAGATTCAAGAGTGATCTCTTCCAGTGAACAATTCCAGGAAGGATACACATGGCTGTACCTTTGTTTCTTTTCTCCAGGTAACCTTGCTTCAAAAGTTTTTCAGGTTCTTCTGTATCTTCATAATCTGAAATTATTTAAAATGAGATTGTAAGTAGGAAGCCAGGTGGAATGTCAATTTATAGAACTACTACACTAAACTTTATTTACAAATAAACTAAATATATATAT